ATTTGTGCCACGTCTTAATGGTTGTTTCAAATTGATTGAATAGTGGGTTTCTGAATTATTGGCTATGTTCAAGTCACTTTCGTAATTCAAGTTCTTAGCACAGGGGAGCCTTTTTGGTACATACAGAGGTTTAAGCAATGGGGTTGTTCTAGCGAGGGATATTTCGTATTCCCAATCCGACGAACAGGGGGAAAGCCTTATTGGTTCAAACGGAGGGTTGAGTGCTGAAGTGGACTTACTAACAGGCCTTATTACATAGACCCTATTCCTTGGACAGGGAGAAAGCCTTAGAGGTAGGTGAGGACTGGCGTTTCTATATCCTGCCATTGCAAAAGGAGTATTCCTTAACCTCTTTCAAGCGGTATTTGAATCAAGGACCTCAATTAATATACCCCACACCTGACACCAATGTTACGCGAGTGTTTTTCTTACTCTTTCTAGACTTTATTAGATTAAATTGTGATTGAAGGCAAATGTGAATGCAATTTATTGAAGCTAAATGTCTCGAATAGTTTTGGTTATTTCTGTTAAATTGTCAGTTGGCTCGCTACTACTTCTGGTGGTCCTTCACTCGCGGTAACTAAACACACACTTGAATTAAGTTACTTTACGAAAAACTCGTTTTTATTTTCTTTTGCAATGGCACAACAAACACAAGGGTACTAATTCAAAAATGGCACAAACACAAGGCACTAATTCAAAATGATGAGATCGCACAGCTACGCAATATGAATTGCTCAAACACTACAATAATTAAACCCAACACAAGGCATGGAGTGACACGACTAAAGTCCTAACTCGTACAGTAATTACTTAACTAGAACAAGCACTAGACGGTCTAACACTCACCGGTAGTCATGGCAACAGATCCAATCACGTAACCACTACACACGTAATCACTGCACTTCACACTTAACTACAGATACACGCTAACTAAAAGAACTACTAGACACACGTTGAAACTATACACACAGACTGAACACTGAACTACAACACTGAACTATGACAGACAAAACTACAACACACTAGCACTAGACTACAAGTGAAACTACGAGACCTAGGATTTACACTGAGAGGAACACTAGCTGAGAAGCGCACTGGTCGGAAGCTCCAGACGAAGTGTTTTCTCGAGTCACGGCAGAACGTTTATATGCAAGAGCCGGCCCGAGCTTGGCCAGGGAGGTCCCTTGCTCTGATTGGCTCGGGGGCGAAAGGACCAACGGCGTGAGCTGGTCCCGCCCACCGATGCAGGGGACCGCACGTGGTTCGTAGAGTCACACGTGCAGCCCCTCCCAAAGATGCGCCGCTGGCGTCACGAAAATAGATAATTTTGATTTGAATACAAGCGATAAAGAGAGAGAGAGAGAGAGAGAGGGGGGGGGGGCGATCCGTGGGTCCAGCCGCCATGCCGGAACGATAACGGCTGAGCCCACATGCCGGCCGCCCGCGCCGCTCGTGCCGCCCGCGAGTCGAGAATAACCACGAAGGAGAGAGGGGGGAGAAAGGCGTGGAGCGCTCCGTGGGGCCAGCCGCCATGCCGGAACGATAACGGCTGAGTCCCACGGCCGGCCGCTCGCCCCTCTCCGGCTGAGATGGTATTATTGACTCACTCCCGGGGGCCGGCGCGGCCTCTCACCAGCTGCACAGCCTGGTGTCAATAAAGGTGCAGTCCAGGAGGTCACACGTGGTCAGCGCCTGAGTTTTGAAGCGACCCGCGCGCTCCCGCGACTGCGGCTGTCATGGCGGCCATTAGTGTCATCGTGCTTTTAGTCAGCCATTACATCTGTATTTTACGAGGGGCGGAGCTGTCGTGGCGTCCCCCTTTCGAGGGGCTCTGCAACCAGCCTCCCCCTCCTCCCCCCTCATCGGGTGGAGGCGGGGGAGCCGGGCGGGCTCATGGGTCGCCACGCGCCACACATGTGTGTGCGCCGCCGCTCAAAACAGAAGATGCGACAAAAAAACTGTTAACACGACACCTCTATTAGCCGCCACCTGACCCTCTCTCAAGCCGCGGAAATTAAAACAAACGCGAGGGAGTGTATCAAACTGGTACCAGTACCCATGTACTGGTAACAGCAGCGCGCTCGCGCCGCCACCGCCGCCTCTGTTTTCAGTTAATCTCGCCGCTATCGTGCCGTGTTTTCTCTCCGACACGACTTTCATACCACTACAACCACCGCGCGACGCGGGCAGAGCGTAGGCGTGAAGCACGCGGGGCGGAAGGGTGGTGGTGCAGGTTACAGCGGGGGGCGCAGCGCAGGCGAGCTCGCCCCTAATGTGCTACACATTTTAAATGGCTTTAAACTTTTCCTTCCGTCTTATCTACGCAGATCTAGTGAGCCGAGGTGGTTTGGCCCCCCCTTGCCCCGCCTCGACCCCTCACCACCCCCCGCCGGGCGCCGTCGCGTGAGAGCAAATTATTTCTCCCACACACCCCGATGACTCCTCCGGGTGCGTTTGAAAAGCCCGCCCTCCGTGTCCCCGTCGCCCCTGGGCGAGGAGGCCTCCCCGCAGCCAGGACGCGGCGGACGCAGCCCCGAGCGGCGGAGGAGGAGCGGAGTCCTTAAATTGCTTTCGGCTCACCACCAATCGATTACGACGAGATTTATTTGGCGCGGCAGAGCGGCCACGAAGACACCGCAAGTCGCCCGCGAGAGGGGCGGGTGGAGGAAGGGAGAGGGAGAGGGCGACCTGAAGGAGGGAGGCGGAGGAGGCGCCACCCGCGGGCGGGGGAGGTTCTGTCCGCGCGCAGGCCACAGGCCGCAGGCGCCTCAAATCCAGGCGAGGAGTTTGGGGACCGCATTGCTCTCCTGTTCGGCCAGCGGCGGGGGCGGGCCAAGGGGTGGGCGGAG